TTATATAATAATATATAAATTCAGTAATATTATAATAGTAATAATAGTATAAGAGAGACTAGGCGAAAAATTTGAATTTCCCGCCATGTATGCGAAATTCGTATTTTTCCCGTTTAATCGTAAATCAACGTGTCTTCTATATTTCTCTGTTAGATGTTAGACGAAGTTAGATGAATAGATGAATAGATAGATAGATAGAAGATAGAAAGATAAAAGGAAGCGCAAAAGGTAGTAGCTGCTTTACAAGAAAATATTTTATCAAGTGCAGCCGTTAGCAAGGCACGTCAAATTATTATCCAACGTGTACGCTGCACGATTATACGTACACGTGCACGTAAGTTAATGAGTTTGAGACCTTCTGCGGTTGTAAGTTTCACGTAAAACTTTAAAGGAGACCAACGAACCGACGAATTTGCAACGCAGCACGAGCTCGATATTTATACTGCGTCAGAATTTTATTAAACAAATTTTAATTACGTTTGAAAAAATTATAGTATAGATACGGAGAGTATTGAAAATAAAAAAAAAAAGCTCTAATCCAACTTGTATTTTCTTCTTTCTCTCTCTCTCTTTTTCGTTTATCTTATCTATTTTATGTTAAATTAATTCTGATTGTGAGTTGACGTTCTTCAAATAGATTAGAAAAATATTTAAATTAATTTTCTTAAATTAGCAAATATGTATGTTACCTACGTGTTTTAAAAGAGAAATCGTATAAGACTTGATATTACGAAGACGTATACAAATCGATCAGCGTCTACGAGACGCTTAACACGATGCATGTAGATTGAAAGTTCAAGTACAACAATGCGAAGGACGTTCGTTCGCAAATAAACGATCTCGAGTAAGCCTTGGTGAAAGTACAAGGTCCTATCAACTAATATAAATGGTCTTCTTCTTAAATCTAATGCAAATATTCTCTTATTGTTAAATAAAATTTTATTCGTCAACATATACAGTTAGTTACAAAAACATTTGCACCATTACTGTCAATTTGAAATAATTAATATCTGCTTGTAATCCAATTTTTCCAAATTCTTATTCAAAGGTGCATATAAAATGATGACCTTCAAATCTCTTACGTGCCTCTACCTGAGAGAAAATATTCTCCAGAAAATAAATAATTCCTTGACGGCAAAAAAAATATTATTTGAACACTTTTTTTCAACCACTAAAACTGTAGAAATTATTTAGATAACCGATCGTAACTGACTTATCCTGCATAAATATACAAATAGATCTAAGATCGTGTATTCGAGATATATGTGCTTGAAAGTCGAATGTTATTGGAAAACAACGATAATTAAATTAACAAGTACTTGAATATTCATTCTTTCAATCAAATTAATACGAACAATTCTACTTGATACATTCAGTGACGAAATAAGAGTACATCTTTGCTTTCAAGGACAACGATAGATACGGCAATTGGATGTTTAATTATCACAAGATATACAATCGATATTTTTACCCTTACTTATTAATGATATCCAATCGAGAAATTGATTTATTTCGAGTACTCTATAAATTCGTTCTATTACTTGAATTACTATTAAAATAAAATAAATCAGTACTATATATAAAGAGGCATGATTTTTCTAAAGAGTCGAATTGTAAGAGAATGTATATATTCACGGATAACTATAGTAGATAATGACACAAGCCTAGTCTTATTACAGTTACGTTTTATACCGATCTTTTCGACGAAAAACACACGAAAACGAAAACGACTTAGGTTTTAGCATTAAACTCTCGACGCGCGGATACGAACGAATACGTGACCGTAATGTAAACAATTCTTGGCGCCTCTGTAGATACACACGAACGAACGAACGAACGAGTATACGAATCCGACAAGCAGTTCATGTGAATATTTCTTATCGTTAACAAACTTAGAAATTATATACATATGCATATAATAAGTTACAATATATATATATATATAATATGTATATAATATTAATATATTAATATACTTGTGTGTGTGCTTAATATAAAATACAATATTATTTTATTATTATAAATTTAATTTATATAATTTATTATTTATGTATAATAAATATTCCATATAAAATAATAAATTTATAATATTGTAATATGAATATATAAGTATATGTCAAGAAAAAAAGAGAAATAGGTCTATATAAATAATATAAATTAAAACAAATGAATCTTTTTTCCTATATTTCCTATAAGACGAAAAAACTTGTATCGTCCTTCTACGAGTCTTTCCCCCACCGATCATCCTCCCCACGCAACACCGCCATTTACATTTTGCGCCAAGGATAAACAAAAAGGTGACACATATCATACGATAACGATAACGCCGTATATGCCGTAAAAATAGACATTAGAAAGAAAAAAGAAATAGTAATTACCTTTTGTTGAACAGTAAAACGTTGTAAGTTTTGTAGAAGACGGTGAACGAACGATGTCTTGTGTTTCCGGTAATCACAGGAATGATTCTGGTATCGCATCTACGCTAGAGAGCACAATTAAAGTGTAAAATGCACGCAACGAACGTTAACCAGTTTCAAAGTAAAAATTACAATTTCATTATCAACGGTGCACAAAAAATGATAATTAAAAAATACACTAACTTTGTCTGATGTTTTTAAACGTGTGATAATGTAATACAGTTTTTGGTTTAATTCAAACACACATGTACACACGTTGATACACGCGTATATATAGAATATTTATATACGATGCATGTTTACGTATGTAATAAAAATAATGAAGAAATTACTGTCATTGTCACTTATTGAAAAAATCACCCTTGTGCATTCACAAATACAAATGTACTCCGATCGTCCTCCTTTTTTTATTTGTCTAATACACTTCTCATTTTTATAAATATTCCTTCGCAGAAAAATAAAAATGAATATTTTTCAAGAAAATACACGTTGTCAACAAGTAAGGCAAGTAGACAGTAACAAAATAAACGTCGAAGAGCGCAAGAACTCACTTCAACTCGGTTCGGCACTACGGCTCGTACTGAGAAACAATCAACGATTGCTCGCCACCACGCGACTACCAACTCGAACGGTCTACCGCGCAAGATGGCCGCCACTTAAGCATTTCTCATTGGCTACAGCCAAAGACGTTCGGCTACTTTCGACAACCCGCTTTTATCTTCACATTTTACCTTACATAAAAGCGAATTATTTTTATGATTAAATTTAGTACGAATAAAAAATATCTTATGAAGAAATAACGAAGTATAATAGTTATTAATATGATTTAAATTTAAACGAATTATTTGTATACATATTTCGATGATACGAAATTATAATTAATTATCAGTAGTCAATAATTCAAATATTATTGTATTTAATTGACACATACACACACACACACACACACACATTAAATATAAAGTAAAATAAAAAATATATTATAGTATAAATAACTGAATATTAAAATTACATATACTTTAAGGTAATACGTATATTATTCATATAAATTTTAATCTCGTGAAAAGTTATAATAAATTATAAATTGTTAATACCTCGACGTTTGTGTGTGTGTGAAATAAAATGAGAGTAAATAATGTGAAAAGTATACAAGTAACAAAGTATAATTCAAAGCAAAAATGTTTGATAAAAGAATTTCATTATTTTTTCTATCTTTTTTCATAATAACAAATAATTATAACAAATATAAAAATTGATTTATAAAAATAAAGTGAAACCGATTATATATACATAACAGTGCAAACTATACAACGTTACTTTTGCGTGGCATATGTATTATATACGTGCATTCTTTGAACACATTGAATACGAAAACAAATGATTCGACGTTTATTATACCTTTTCTCGCATTTTGAAGTATGTGAAATTCCGCTCACTAAGTTTACGCACAAAGCAGAGAAATTCTTGATAGGGGGTCGCACGTGCCTAAATACAGGGTTGCATTTTCTATTCCTGCACGCAACAGGAAATACGATGGTTTGGCTGACACAATGCTGTCAAAATAAATGCTTCGACAATACGAGCCGAATGGCACACGCATGAATGAAAAAGAAAAAAAGAGAAACTGGTTCTTTCATCCGCGTGCAGGAAGCTCCGAAAGAATATTTTTCTGATGCTGATTATATATATATGGTCATCCTTTCTAAATTATTTATCAGCGATTTTGTATATTTGATTATAACGCTAAATTTCATAGATATCAATAAAATTTGTTTTTTTTTTTTCGTAGAAATTTTATATAATAAATAAAATTAATTTCGAAAGTTACCAATTTAATAAATGTTTCCGTTGTATAAACTTGCTTATTTGTGCTATCGATGGCGCCACTCACCGATATTTTAAAGATTAATCGAATAAACAGTAATAAGGATTATATTTGATTGTATTTATACAAATTTATATGTATAAGCTCAATTATTTTTTTTGCAAATATCATCAAAGAAAATTATCAAGAATAATGTTTACGCTAATAAAGGATTGTTTAAAAATTGAAAAGAATTATTTCGTGTAGAAAATCTTAATCTTTCGAATGATCCTTTGATTTTTAGAATCGAACATAAAAAAGGTCTATTAGAATTCATGGGATAAACTTTACAAACATAAAAAAAGAGAATTCCCTGACATAGTATTAATATACGTATAAATATATTTTTTTTTGTTCTATACCAAATAGATACGGATTATATCGATTTCTTATCTTCTCCCTTTTTTTTTACACAATTATTGACTTACTTATAAGTATAAATAAAAAGTTTTATATGATACAAAGTAAAAAATACCACTTTCATATAGGCACATAAAATGGAAAAATACTTTGACAGCTTTTACACAACGCTAAGTTAATATAATTAATAGAAAGAAAAATATTGAAAGCAGTAGCATGACAAACAGTATATGTATATGTATATATATATATAAACGCTACGTGTCATAAGTTTGAATTCAATTTATGAACTTCCTTATTTCGAAACCACATTTATAAATATTGCATGGTATAAGAATTATCTCTTAAATAAATGTTATAATTCATATGGCAAAACAAAAGAAGCTCGCGAATATAAATTGAAGCGCAAGAATAATATTCCATTAGTCTAATTTTATTTCAGCATAATACTATTTCATCATGTTTCGCAGTTCGACGATCTTCTTTATCTTAAGCCTTTGCGTGACAAGTAAGTTCTAAAAAATACATCAATTTAATAATAAATAATGATAAATAAATAATAATTTGTGTCTGATAAAGGTATCGTTTGCTCACCCAATTGCGGACCAAATGCGGTTTATTCCGACTGTACAACCCTTTGTCCATTAACATGTGATAATTACCAAACTCCACCTAAATTTTGTGCTCTAGTAAGTAAATTTGTTTTATTTTATCTGTCGATGTTTTTAAAACGAAGTAAATTATTTCTAATAACTAACTTATGGATTTGATTATTTCCATATTAGGTCTGTGTAAAGGGATGCAAGTGTAACGAGGGATATGTATTTAACGAAAACAAAACATGCGTTTTACCTTGTAATTGTAAAAATTAATAATCTGACGATTATAAAAAATGTAAATGTAAATTCTATAGAAATGTATAATTCGATCGAATTGAAAAATTATCATATATACTTCAATAATAAAATATTATAATATCATATATTTCTTGATTTGTTTCTTCTTCATATATATCTAATAAATCTACTATTTTACAGTGTTTATAAAACTTATAATTTATACACACTGATTATAAACTTGAGCTTCTCAAAGTTTTCCATTTGACGATCTCCTTTACTCAAAAAAATATTTTCTTGATCCTAGTTATAGACATCATACCAGAGATGGCGAAGTTGTGGCCTTTTAAGATTTTTCATGCGACCTTCCTTGTGTTAATATAAAATGTAAGTGGATGTTGTATTAGGGATGCCCATAAGAAATGTCATTTTTTTTCAAATTTGAAAAACATTGTCATTTATTTACAATAACTTCAATTAATATAATATAACCTGTATTCTAGTAAAATATATTAATATTTAATGCGATTATAGTTCTATTTAAAAAACAAAATTAAATAAACCCTATAAAAATAAAAGATGATTCACTTAATTGCACGAATTTACATAACTCGCAACTTTGAAAAGCCCTTTTTTAAACTACTCTTATTCATAATAAACTGCTCGTATCCGAAGTTATACGACAGGCGCATGGTGGAGACACTGTTCCATTAGTACACTTGTAGCTCGTGTTATCCGTATTTGTCATAGGAGTCTGGTACCTTTTGAGGGGCATGTGATTTTTACTGGTCGAACATAACAAATAACATTGCTTTTGATACTTTGATATTAAGATAAAACTAGTGTGAAAAGAAAATTATAAAATTAATACAATGGTAAGGAAAAAAGAGATTATTTATTTTTGAAAAAGTGACCTTACTTACACGTATACGCCTTTAATAAATTTAGCCTCTAACTTTATAAGGAAATGTTAGAGCTGAAAATAGATTTACATAATTTTAAAAGATTCTTATTTTTATCATTATATTTATGTAAACAAATGGTTTTTTCCTTCCTTCTCTTGGTTAAAATTACTTTGTCATATGCTTGATTACTATTTTATAACGAATATTGTTCTTAATAAATCATTATATTATAGCAAGATCCAAATGAAGATACAGAATGGAACGATATTCTTAGGAGGAAGGGTATTATTCCTGAGAAAGCCAAAGAAAAAGAAGTAACAGAAGATCAAATATTAGACATTGTAGAGAATACGATAAATGAAAAAACAGGACGCAGTAAGTTTCTTTATCTTTAGCATTAAATTGAAATTAAATAAATGGTTTACGATAAATTCTGTTTCTTTAGCTACTAATGATTTAGAAAGTAAAACCTTAGATGAATTGGATGAATTGGAAGACGAAGAAGATGAAAAATTTCTTTTAGAATTTAGACGTAAAAGGATAGCGGAGATGATGGCATTAGCAAATAAAAACAAATATGGAGCAGTTAAGGAAATATCAGGCCAGGATTATGTCCAAGAAGTTAATAATGCAGGAGATGTTTATGTAGTTCTACATTTATATAAATCAGGAATTCCTTTATGTTCGCTTGTCAATCAACATTTAGCTTCATTAGCAAGCAAATTTCCTGCAACAAAATTTCTCAAAAGTATTTCTACTACTTGCATACCTAATTGGCCAGATAGAAATCTTCCAACTATTTTCGTATATTACCAAGGAAGCATGGTTAAAAAATTCATCGGACCAATGGAATTAGGTGGAATGAAACTTACGGAAGAAGGTTAAACTTTGTATTAATTTTAACAGCATATAGCCTATGACAAATATTAAATCAGTATTATAATTAACGGTAACTCTCTTCAACATAAATATAATTCATGTTTCAGAATTAGAATGGATGCTTGGTGAAACTAAAGCCATAACAACAACGTTAAAAGCCAATCCTCGAGCAAATCGTCCGCAAGTAAAAGATGTATTATTTTCTGAATTAGAGAGCGATAGAAATGATTGGTAACTTATTTTGAATTAATGTTATTTTTTAAAAGTAATACTATATATAATATAAGGTGCTAAGAATGTGAATATCTTGTACAATGACAAAAATGGCATTTCAATTGATATATCTATTTGTTCAAAAAAGTGTATATACATATACACACTTGTCACTAATTAATAACACTAGCAATCTTGCTAATGTTGTGTAACGGAATAAAACAATTAATTTTCATAACTTAGATAGTTTTCTTCGCTAAGATTTATTCCTTTATATTGTTTTTCAAAATAAGTATATAATACGTAAGTTGAAAATTAACAGAGATAATTTTACACAGGATTTTGAAAATTCAATAATCTCGAAATTTATTTTATCTTGATCAGGGTTTCTCAAATTTTTTTACTTGGCAGACTTCTTTACCTGAACAAATATTTTCACGACCCTAGATATAGATTCCATACTATTTTCTCTTTCACTATTATAAACTCATAAACACACTATACGTATAGTATTGCTAAATTAGTTTTTAATTTATTTC